TTTAAAGGGGAGTGCCAAGCTTTGAACTGGAAACTGGCACTGGTTTCCCAGGTCTCCACCTCAACAAAAACACTGGCACATAGTTTTAGTTTAATTACATGTATTTGTCAGGGATCATAGGGTTGGTTGCAATAACTGCAATAATGAAATAACCACGCATGTCTTCGGGGTTGGGCGGTTTAAAGAAAATCTTTAAAGATGCACTGTTAGGGTAATTTATGAAAATAATTTTTTGTCATATGAAGAAATTTTTATTATTATCCTGGACATTAGATACATAAACAGAAAATCTGTGTGTGTTCTCTGCGGCTCATTTCTAGTGCCCTCCTAATGGCCATTTGCAGTTCCCCAGGCCCTGGGGACGAAAACAACAAATCAGAGCTGCGGAAAATATATAAAAACCCTTTGGAAGGCCTTGGAAGATAGTTGATTGTGAGTCTCAGCGGTCCCCAAAGCGGTCTGTATTTGACACCCCTGGGAATGGACTCAAAATCAACTATCTTTGTTGGCTCTAATTTGGCGTTGTTTTCATTCAGGCCCAGTGTTATTAGGAGGACTAGGAGAAGGCCAGAGGAACCAATTTTTTTCAAAAGATATCTGTCTCGTTCATTACTGGTCAGGATATAGTGAAAGTTTTCAGCCAAAATGACATAAATAAATATTTTTTTAACTAACTGGAGACATTTTTAGGCTGACAGTCTAAATTGGTCTTTGTATTTTTTTAAAGGAAACACAGAATCAAGCTGGGGTTTCACAATACCACCATCCAAACAAATTCACAATCCACACTTAATCACTACTGAACCCAATATTTTATACACATTACCTTTTAGTTGTAAATAAACAAGGGGAATGGTGTTTGTTCTTGTGTATAGAAGAAGCAAGTATTGGCACAATGGAGCCTGGGCCCTCGATTAAATCGCATCTGTCCCAGAGATGCATTATCCATCAGGTCTGTAGCTAAAACCTGACTTTACAGATTTTTTAAGGGCTGCATCTGTTTCTTTATATTAAATGCCACTTAGGATGTCATTGAACCAAGGATAACATTATTTTCTATTGTGCCTCCTGGGGCATAACTTTAGCAAATGTAGACCATGAGCTCCAATACAAGGTTCCATGAGGTCATCACCAATTGTATTAGCTGTTATAATAACTACTTTTGCTTTTATTTTATTTTTAAATGATTAATATTGTCATTTTAAGACAATTTTACGCCACTGATATAAATAAGCATAAACTAAGTATGCCTTTTCAAATGACCTCTGATCATTCAGACAAAACCAAACAGCAAAACAATAATTAAATGGATTTATCGGTCTATGTTAATAAAAAATACACAAATAAATACTAAACATTTGGCAACAGGAGCAGAGCTATAGAGTCATTTCACATTCATTCCTTAACAGGCAATATTCTGTGTTTTGTCAAGCCAATTAGAATTAAAATCAACCATTAAGAGCATCAGATAAACAATCAAAGAAAACACCCTTTGCAGTTGGTGGTCATTACAATACAGTTACAACAAAGGACACTTGAAGAGAATGGTAAATGGACCTCCGTTACTGTAGCTGCCTTTCTATTCTTCCGACCACCTTTCCACGCTCGGAAATGCCAACTCCATTTCACCACCTCATTTCATGACCCGTCCGGAGAGAACAGAAAACTAACTCATTCATACAACATTTCCACACACCGATGCATGGCATCAAGAGCAATTTGGGGTTCAATATCTTGCTCAAGGATACTTCGACACGTGGGGGGAGGAGGTGGGATCGAACCAACAACCTTCCAATTAGTGGGTGACCCGTTCTGCCTCTGAGCTACAGCGGCCCCCACATGTAAGAATGTGTTACATAAACAGACAAAAAGGACAACCAGTGGGTGAAGGGATGGAACACTGGAGAACAGGAGAGAAGGAGTAAGGAAGGAGAAAAAGAAAAGGAGAGAAGAGGAGAGAGTATGGGCTGGAATAAAAAATCATAAGCTTTAGGCCATGTAGCCTACATTATTGTACTGTACATTATGTACCTACAGTATATAATATATATCTATATTATTAAAGTATATATTTTTACTTTCTAAAATACTAATATGATATATTACATATTACGTAGTTAGGCCTAATAAATGACTAAAGTTCCCAACTGAGTTTTAGGAGTGAAATTCAGCTATGTGGATTAAAATGGAACTAGAGCTGCAGGGTGATGATTCAACAGAATCAAGACTATATCTGGATATCTATGGTTCTGTCCTTTCTAGCAACACTGCTACTGCACTGAGTAGCCACACTGTAACTGTGGCTCATCTGAATGTATTTGGAGATCTCTCAAATGAGATCCAAGTTTCACCTTATTTTCTGCTGGCATAGTGCTTGCGATTCTTGGTTTTGACATGTGGCGTTCTGGGAACATCTCATCCTTTCCTTATGTATACAGCGATTAAGAAGCAGTTTCTGAAGATATTTCAGTTAAATTTTATCCCTTACGATTTGCTGACAGTTCTACCACATTGGTGGTAACTCTATTCTACAAGTAGATATTTCATTAAAGTATTGTTTAGTGTATTAGACTAACGCCGAACGGAAGAGTGTACGGCAACGCTTCGTTTACCGTCCCTCGTTTTATTTTGCCTGTTGTGGATAATTGTCACTAATCGACGCATCCGAAAACGGACAGATGATAAACGGAGTACGGCGCTACACGTCTCCTCGTAGAGCAGAGCGCGTGTCGCAGCTGAGCCACCAGCATATGGAATGGCTGTGTTCACTTAAAACTTAAACGCTGCTGGCTAACGTTAACTTAATGCTAAACTATGTTTTCTTTCAAGCTGTCAAAAAAGACTGTCGGTCGGTGGAAATCGTGGTCGGTTTAAGTTACATTCAAACAGGTGCTATGAGCTCACCTGAAGAGAGAGGTTTGCAGTCTGGCTTGACTTCAAGGTGCTAACTTCCTGCTAACGCCACCTGACTCTGGGTTTGGAGGTAAATGTCCCGGTGCTTCACGTCAATTTCTTCTTATTTCTTCCTCTCTATCGAACTTTTTTTGTTTCTGTCTGCAGGATGTGTCTCTGTGTCAGAATCAGGTACACTAAAAAACCCCACCTCTGTCTGTCTGCTGATGGTGTAGCCTACTATAACAAAACTCCACCTTGGCAAATAAGTCTGGTTTTACCAGTCTAACTAGAAGAGCAGTGAAACTTGTAAACTTTATGACATGACACAAGTCACTGATGAGTCATCTTCAGCCAGCCCCCCTTGTCTTACAGCAGTGGACACCCCCACCACCTCAACATAACCACTGAAATAATACAGCAGAATAGTAGCCTATAAATGTCACCGCCACGCTTCCATCATGTGTTACTGATAATGCAATTAAAATTCTGCTTCAGCATAATGATTAATAAGTGGCATAATTAGGCTATTCATTAAGCATTCCTACTAACTCTATATAATTAAAAAGCCAAAACAAGGAATTGGAAACAAGAAAGTGAATGCCTACACCTCTTGAGTGGAAGAGCAAATATCTCTGAAGCCACAAACCAGTGTTTCTTCTTGTTCCTACAGTGTGCTGTTTGAATGCTGTGCAGAGTTTGACTCTAGAAGGATGTTTTCACTTTCATCTGCTGCAAGTGGAAAGTTTCTCTGTGCTCACTGAAAATCAGATTTTGAAGGGGCGGGGCCTACCAGCATGATTTGTGACATCACTAGTAACTGGTAAATATTGTGAAACATTTGCCATTTAGCAATTTGTCCACATTAGCAAGCAAATTAACTTAGCCAGCTAAAATCACAATATCACAAGTTATTTCGCAAGCTTTGCTGTAATGTTAGCTTTGACTTTGGACTGTTATGGTCAGTGTCAGCCATTTGTAGACTCCATATAAAAGCTAATGTTAGCTAGTGTTTGCACACTGGTGACACTGTATGGAAGTGGAGAGAGAAGGCACTCAGGAGCGCCCATAAACTTTACATCCTTTGGATTTTTGTGGAAAATGCAGACCCTCATCCCTACATAGAAACACATATAAATCAGTCCACTGGCAGCAGAGAAAGTCGGAGAAGGTCTCATTTTTTAAGTTACATTACAATCAGTTCACACATTGGCAATTAAAAGTGATTACTAAATTAAAGCAATACGTAAAATGCTTGGAATCTTATCTTACATATGGCCTCTTTAAAGGTTTGGATCTGATGTTTTATCTTTATTCTGGATTCCACTGAGGTCAGCAATGTCTACTTCACATAATGCAGTGGGCACAGCTTTAAATCTCACCTGTTTCTTCATGCGGTCCTGGTGTCCCATGATAATGGCAGCATGGTGGGGATACTTCTGCCTCAGGTGGTCCAGGAACACCTCCTTCCTCTCCACATCAGTGTGCTGCATCATCAGACTGTCCAGCTGGCTGTCCCTGCTGGCGGCAGCGGTAGCGGTGGCATAGGATCGAGGTAATGTGCTGGGAGAGCGTGGAGCTAAACCACAGGACGAGAAGTCTGGGTTACAAAGCCGGCTGTTGTTGGTGTTCTGTTTCTTTTGCAGCAGATGCTCAGTGCTACTGTTCAAAGCAGTAGAAGATGGGGAGTTTCCTGGATCTGAGTGGGAATGGAGACAGAAGGATAAAAGAGATGAAAATAGAGGAGAATATGAGAAAAGACATGGGCACGAAAAGACACGAGAGGACACGGAAAAAATGATATGACAAGATTAAATGTGTGGCTATATCAAAATGTTGAACACTCTCACTTCAGTTCACACTGTATATAAACTGTGGAGGCGTCTTACTCAGTGACGTTAACCCGTGTTTGAATGAGAAGCTGAGCGCAGCACTTTATGGATCAGTTGCTGTGTAGTGTCCATGTTGTGAATGTGCATCAGTGTGTGGATAATATTCAGCTCTGCAGATGATGAGAACAACAGTTTCAGGGAGGATAAAAATACACAGCAGTCATTCAGCTTCAGATAGCACACAGCTGGAGAGGGATTGATATTGAAACATACAAAGTAGATTGAGGGAATTATCCAATAAATTCTAAATAAACTTTACCAAAGATACTGACACTTGGTGTCAACCTTTAACACTTAACAAGCAGACTGACAGCACAACCATCATTTAGGTGTTCAGGGAGAAATTGTGACAAAACATGATAAAGTGCCATGTAGGGTGCCCCTCTAATTCAATTCAATTCAATTTTATTTGTATAGTGCCAATTCATAACAACAGTTATCTACATATACAACTGAAAGTGCCCTCTAGATTGCTAATCCTAACCCAGAATAAGCAGTTTCACCATAAATGCATCACAACTTTCTGTGTGCTGGTGCCATTTACATTATTTAAAGTCCTCCATTGCAGGCAATCTCCATACCACTATGTCTCACGAACAACAGATATGGCTGATGGCACTGTACGGCCTGTATGTGGTTGGACATAGTTGAGTTAAGTATAAATGCCACTGATCCAGTCCTACAACTTACTGCTCTGGCTGCTGTGGCTGATGCTGTCCACAGAGCTGTGTGGCATTTTACACTGTCTGACCTGCAGGCTCTGACATACACAGAATATATACATGTTACACTGTAAAAAAAATTTAAAAAAAAGACCCTGAATTCACAGCAGAGGTTGTACAGCAGTGGTGCAAAAACACAGCAAAAGGGACAACCCGTCCAAAGCACAGTGACTCACAGACTGGATGCCAGCTGCTGATATTTAGAAGTAAGCAGAGAGGCAAATTTGGAAGTGGATTGTCCTCTAGCTCTTTGACTGTTTTATTTTGGTTTACAGTCTGTATATTGTTAGTTTGGAGTAGTTGGTGAGCTTCCTTATCTCGTTTCAGCAGCAGCTAAGTGGACAAAAACATGTCTTACACAGTCACGCCCACGTGAGAAATATCCTGGGGAAAATAAAGGTTTACACTACTGCTTTTTGATTTATTCAGTTGATATTACAAGTGCTTCTTATTTAATGATGAATACAGTTCAGAGGAGAGGAAGTATTTGTGTAATTTGAAGGCCTGTCTCTGGAGTTCATGCTACACTAAAATGGAATTAATGTGAATTAAATAACATATTGTATATTTTCTGTAATATGGATAGCCACATGCTAAGTTACACAAAGCTATTTTTTTTTTTATCACAGAGTCAGTTATAACACCTCAGTCTGTGAAAACAATATAATAGTAAAAACTGAATAAATGTATACCATAAAGCCTGTGTTATGCTATCTGGTTGCATCATTGGGAGTGTAGGATCCAGTCTTTTGGAGCTCAACCCATGCTAGAAACTACAAGTGAGGATGCTGCTTCAATTTTGACCATTCTCTCTTTACAGAACTGCAATACTGGAGAACCCATTAAAGCAGTGGTTCCCAACCTGGGGGACCCACACTAGAGGTCGCCAAAACATCACAGGTGCTTGCAAAGCCTTCTTGATTTTAAGGTATTTTAAGGCCTGTATTTCATTCAAAAAATAAACTAAATTTAATTGAATTTTTAAAGTTTAGATTATTATTTAAGATATAAACTCTGAGGACTATATTATATATATATATATATATATATATATATAAACTATATCCACAGAGCCTTCACTCTCTGATAAACAGCCTTGTCCTGTCCAAAAGTACACAGTTAAAACAATCAGAGCTAATAGACCAAACATCAAGAAAACATTGAATGTTGAGTGTCTGTGGCGACATTCCCAGACAATCATGTATCAAAGCTGCAGTGGGTGACTTGAACATACACAACGCAAAACCTTCCGCACTCTGCTTCTCGAATCACTCTGCCAAGCCCCTCTTACCAAACTCACAGCATAGCAGAAGGAGCCGGTTGCCTGCAAAACCTCATCCCCGACAGGGTTAACCTTTCACGGCATGAGCTTCGCCAAGACCCCTCCAGTGCTCGGTGGCCCCACAAAGCGTGTGCACAAGCAGTAATTAACACTGTGTTAGAGACTCCTCATGACTCCAATTGGTTATTTTCTTTCAGGCGTGGTGGATTCTTGCAAATGCCATTAGGAGCACTAGGAGGACCCAGAGAAACTTGATTATCCGTCTCATGTACTACTCTCTGGATATAGGGAGTTTCAGTAAATATGACAAAAAGTTATTTTTCTACAGCTTTAAACTTTAAGTTACTGCTAATGCAAACTGAACATTTCCTACTGCTGCAGCTTCACATGAAGTAGTTACAGGAAATGGAATGTGTTAATTACCACCAGTAACTACAGGTGTCACATATACAATAACGGGGTAACTGCATAACAGTGTCAAAACCAGTTAAGTGATTAAGGTGGTTCATATTTCCTGCTCCCTCACCCCCTTCCTGATCACACTGCATGCCCATGACTGCATCCCCCGACATGGAGACAACTCCTCATCAGCCTGATTTCAAACCATGAAGAAAAGCACAATTCCCATGCCAAAATTACTAGTAATTAACATTACAGAGGAGTGATAGAAAGCATCCTGACTGTAAACTTAACAAAATGGCGTAGGATGTGCGCAGCCCAGGACAGGAGGACAGCAGCGTGTGGTTAGAACCATTCAAAAGATCATTGGTACACAACTACACAGCATCAAGTGCCTGTGCAGAGCCCAAATGATATTAAAAGACAGCATGCAGCCAAGCCACAGCCTGTTCAACCTGCTGCATTCTGGGAAGAGGTACAGAAGCTTCCACTCCACTTGTGAGCTGTGAGTCTTCCTCAACAATTCATCATATAAATTTAATTTAATAATTTTTTTTATGACTCAGTTTTTATTTGGTTTTTTAACAATACGAGCAACATTTGGGGGAACTATATCTAAATTTAATTCTACATTCTTCATAATTACAGATTTGAAACACCAACCACCACTCCTCAGTGAACTACCTCTTTGGAGATCTGAGAGCCTTTTTATAGCTCAGTATCTAGGTTTTCTAATGTTTTTTAGGAGTCTGTTTTCACTGATTTTTTTTTGTAAGAAAGTGAAGTTATTTAACAAAATTTGGCTAATTAGGCCACTAGAATTTTTTTCTAGTGTGCAGATGTACATGGGCTCCCTTCTCACACACACAGCTTCATCATCCTGACATTTGAAACTTTCCTGGAGCTTTGCTGTCTTTAATTAGGCCACTTTATCACTGGTTGGATGGAAAATGACTTTTTAACATGGCTTAAAGGTTTTATGTTATTGCGTGTCTTATCCACTGATCAGTGGGCTATATACAGTGCACAAAACAAGCATCCACTTTGATGTTTTAGCACAGTTAGCACGCTTGTAGCATGTGTAGTCTGCACACTCACAGCCACGTAGATCCAGCAAGGGTAGGGATTCATAGCTACCCTCTGTGTTAAGCATTCCCACAGCCTCCTTCTCATCATAGCTAACAGCCTACGAAACATATAAACTGGACCAATATTGCAACCTGGACTCCTCCAAACATTGGATGTTCTCACTACACTGTGTTCTTAATGAGCTTAAGCGCACTCAGTTTAGTGGTATGGTTACTTGTCAATGGTCAATGAATGAGGATAACCCATTTCCCTTCAGTTGCCTACGTTAAATTTGACCACTGTTTATCAACAGGAAATAACAGCCTGAGGACAATAAACAGGACCTAAAAATCATATAACACAAGTAGGATTGTGAATACAGGTAAACTTGATAAAAATAACGTTAATCCCGAGGTTTTATTGTTAATTATTGAGATTTCAGGATATAAGAATTGTTTAGCAACCTAACCTATTATCCAAATGTCATCTTTAATCAAATTAAGAATAGGCTCCCAAGCATAAATATGCCAGTTCTGAAGACCATATCCATTTCATGTGATTTTTAATGCTGTGGTAAACAGAGGCAGAGCGGTCGTCCCTAATTGGAAGGTTGTTGTCCATAAGCAAGATACTGGAAACCCAAATTGCCTTCCGGTTCTGGATTCATCTGTGATGGAATGTAATAATGAAATGAGTGTAGTTTCCTGTTCGAAAGGCTTTTGGCCATCACGAGTGAATGTGTTGTGGAAAGGTAAGTGCATGTTAGTGTAAAACGCTTGGTGGTCGAAACTAGAAAGCGCTATACCACAGGTCCATTTACCATTTTTACAATATGTACTATGCCACAAATAACAAATCATAAGTATGAGGAAACTGCAAGTCCATTGCCTGCTCCGCAGATTTTGTAATTCTATGAAAGAATGAGGATGTTAATAAAATAGAGACGCCAGCTTCCGTTCACCTGTATATGTGTCAAGACTGACGCCTGCAGTGATAGAGCCACGTGCTCGGCCCTGCATGAAAGCTCAAAATATCTACAGTAATAGTCAGAATCTCTCATCAGAATTCTGAGAACCACGTGAAGAAATGACAATGGTTTGTAGTGGTTAACCCGTGGATTGAGGGTTAAGCTAGCTGATGGGAGTCAGAGAATATCAGGCGCTAAGAGACATTCAAGAGATCATCAAGTAGGATCATCCTCTGGAAAACACAATGAGCTGCCAAAACTTAATGTCAATCATCCGATAGTTGCTGAGGATACACATTTTAGTCAGGACAAAGGCTGACAACTACTGCACTGGCCCAGGGACACAAATTGAAAAATGCTTCTAGGCTTATCATACTAAACTGTTTTCTTCCTTGAAAAACAACTCTTTCGCTCTGTGTAAAATTGAAGACATTATTAAGCTTAAATGGCAGGTCACATATAAGCTGTTTCAAAACTTTCCTAACTAAACCATTTATCCGGTTAACTTTGCACCTCCCATAACTCACAGAGAATAAAATGCTTCCGTACATCCAGACATGCTGCTGCAGGAGACGGAGGTGGTGCGGTCGCTCCCTCAAATCTGAAATACAACCCTTTTCTCATGTCATGTTGTGAAAGGCGTAATCTCCTTTAGCCAGCTTACTACCCCACATGAACATTCCATTTCCACCAATGAACTGGAGATGGATAAACTGAAGCTCCACAAGTCACCTTGTCACGGGAAGACTTTGTAAATAAAGGCTGGGTAAAATAACACCTGGAGGAAGCATATCTCTGACATGGTTTCATGAACCGTTTCAGTAATCAAGAAACTGTCACTATCATTAAATCCGCTCTCCCTCCACGTTATATCATAAA